TTTTTTTTTTTTTTTGCAGACAGGATCTTGCTATGTGGCCCAGGCAGGCCAGAACTGCGGTCTTCCTGCCTCAGGCTCCCAGAATGCTGGTATAACAGGCCTGCGCCACCACACCCAGTTTTCTGTTCCCTTCCAATGCATGTGCCTGCGTGTACAAAAGCACAAGTGGCTGACCAGTACAGAGCTGTATCCTGAGGTAACCGGCTACTGTCTCACCAATGGCTGACAGTGCTTTGATTTCCAGAGTTCACGTGCAAGTAATAAAGCTTAAGTGGTGCTTTTTTCTTGGTTACTGAGGCCACATTTACAGACAATGGGAATGAACAGACTTTCGTAAGGCTATAAGTCTATTTCTTAAAGAAATACATATAACTAAAATAGGAAAAAACTCTAGTAAGATTTTCCTTGAGATGTCAGTGCAAACATCAAGCTGTGATAAGTGTCCATACCTGGAGAGACTTTACGCTGTGGACATTCTTTTCTAATGTGCCCTTCTCTTCCACAAATGAAACAGCGCTTTTCTCTTAAGTCTTTATTGTCCTGCTTCTTCCATTTTTCCACAGGTGGCCTGAGAAGCTTCTCCCTCCCCTGGTCAACAGCTGCCCTCACAGTTTTGGCTTTCTGAGCTGCACATGGCACAGACTTATCTTCTTTCGCTGACACCTCCCTTTCCGTGTACTTGTTCTGAATTTCTTTCTCCTCCTTGCTTTTTTTGTCTTTGTTCTCAAGGTATCTTTGGTGCAGAGTATCTTCCTGATTTCTCCGTCTTCTGACTCTGTCAAAGACATACTAGTAGGAAAGAATCTAAACAGAAACCTAACAAAATATCATGATATACCAGTTATAGGAGATAAGTCATGAATATAAGGCATCAAAATGAAAGCCAAGAAGTGAACAGACTTAAATACATCTCTATTCAGAAACTATAGTATCCCTTAGTATCCATGGAGGGTGGTTCCAGGGTCCATGGATGTGCAAGGCCGTATACAGAATGGTATGGTATTTACATGCTACACACACCTTCCTACATATTTTAAATCATCTCTATGTTCTTATAATACCTGATATAACAGAAATGCTAAGGAAATGGTTGATATATTGTCCTTTGTAGTTAGCAATAAGAAGTCTGCATATATTCAATATGGATGATGTATTTTTATTTCCCAAATATTTTTGATCTGTTGGCTGAATCCATGGACACAGAGGGCTGACTATATCTCAGAGCTTAATGTCCACCTGTATTTTATAATTTTTGAGTTTTCTGCATTTAATTTTCAAAGCTGCACTAGTGCCATAAAACCACCTTTACAATGAGTGAAATTCTTTAATGCCTGCTTTAATATAATAAAAGTCAAATTATCTGTGGGATGATTTCTTGAACAGAAAAGATAATGCATTAACATTCTTCACTAAGCAGCAGAAATTTGATATCAAATAAAACATTAAGAAACAAGGTTGGGGAATGTAGCTCCATGTGAAGGTCCTGGGTTTAACCCCTATTACACAAAACAAAACTACCACTACCACCCAAAATAACAGTATATCCCAAGAAAGCCACCAAATCTGATTCCTCTGCTCTTCCACAAACACCACCAGGAGAAAGTATGCTACCTACTTGTAGCAATTATTAAGATTAAGTAGTGTACAAATGGAGGGCTCTATACTCCAAGAAACCATGAGTGGGCACAGATCCCAACATTCTACAGCAGGGCTACTGTACAAGAGACTGAGATCCTGGCAGGGGCTGAATGCATTACTTATGATGGAAATGACCCTGGTATTTCTCCCTGCTGTGAAAGGTAGACCCTTTGTTTCCTCTTTTCTTCTTCTGTCCCTACTGGAGAGGCTACTTAATGACAAAGGCCAGGACCAAAATCAGGGAAGAGGATCTGGCCTGGAAGACTGATAAGTCCTCATCACTCCCTAAAAGCTATGTTTCAATTACTTAATACATTCATTTTTTAAAACTCTTAAATCTATCTTAAAACTGCTGGATTTCAAGCAAGTTCATTTTCTGTTACAAAAGAACCATATTTTAAAAATAAAAACAAAAAGGTGGAAAAAACCCTCAAAATACTGCTTCAGAACATTTGCTTACTTTCTCCTCATGGGACAGTCCTTCATGAAGTGTCCAATTTTCCCACAAATTCGACAGCATCTATCATTTGGGGCCAGCTCTCCTTCAGTTAGTACATCTGGATCGAAAAAGTATTCCTAGGAGATATAAAGACATAGAAGCCTGAATTATTAGTGTGATCAGAAGAGAAAACATAAGACATGAAAAGAGTGATCTTGTATCTCAATGTCTAATTTTTTTTTTTGGTGGTGGTACTGCAGACTGAACCTAGGGCCTCAGCACTGAGCCACAACCCCAAGCCTTTTATAGTTTTTTTTTTTTGTACCGGGGATCAAACGCAGGACCTTGCGCTTGTGAAGCAGGCAACGGAACCACTAAGCCAAATCCCCAGCAAGCCTTTTATAATTTTTCAGACAGAGTCTCACTAAGTCATTGAGTTGCCCAGGGTGGCTTGATCCTCCTGCTTCAGCCTCCCAGAGACATTAATATTTTTAATAAACACTGTTTACAGTGGACTCATGAAATTTGCAAAGGTTATATTCCTACAGCAAAATTGTGAAAAACTGAATTTCAGATATGGTAAGAAAAATGCTTATTTTTATGGTTTAAACCCTATTCTACATCTCCTGCAGTTATAAAATATTGTATTAATAAAGCCTTAGAAGGCACAGGGCATTTTGGTGGCATCTTGTGGATCTAAGGCCTTTAAGAATGAAACTAAGAACACTGGAGATAGCTACAGCCCTGTTATGATATAGGAATGCTGGTGCATCTATCTGCAAAGATGAATTACAGGGCAGTAGCCAATCAACAGGAAGGAGAACCAAATAACACTCATATTGGTTACTTGCAAACCTCCTGCCAAAGAAACAATTGCAGAAGGTATTTGTGGTTTCTGTGAAACTGTGGGGATTTTCACAAACAACTGTTAGTTAGGTTCTAAGGAGAAATCTGAGAAGGGCTGAGGCTGTGAACTCTGAACTACAACTTCACAGGGGTATACCACATGCCCAGTTCCAGAAAACACATAGCTCTCCAGTACAGGTAGCACTGTCAGTCTTCTAGTTCCATAAAGTACATTTACTGTTCTTTGCAAGAAGACTGCAAAGCCTACCTTTCTATGAGGGTAGGGTGTCAAAAGGCATGCACTGTACCTGGATGGGGCTGGCGTGAAGTTGAGGCTGGTGCAACAGTAGTGCCACCTATGAAGGCTAGCACAGATCACCAGCAACAAAAGGCATCAAAGGGGAAAAAACAAATTAACACACTTAAATACATCTTTTCAGGTATTAAGGATATAGTTTTTCATCTTCAAAGTTGCTCTAAGGTTGCTTTGGTATGTGCTATCAAGAAAAAAAAAGTGAAAGTAACACTATTCATTCCCTCACCCAAACTCCACTTATGACTATTTCCCCTTGTGACTTTCTAAACAGAAAATTCTTCAGAGATTAATTTACATTATAATCACTTATATTGGTCAGATTCACCAGAATGCCAGAGTATATACTACTGAAGTAATGTATATAAACTAGACGCCTAAAATGTGTCCAAATTATGTGCTTTCAATATTGTTTTCTGGCATTTCTAACAGACACTTACCATTTTTGAGGGGTAGTCCTTTGGAAATCCTTTGACTGGAATTCCAAATACTCTTCTACCATTGATAAAGGCTTTCATTATAAAATTTGTCACTACAAAGAAAAGAGTGAGATCTCAAAATGGATTAAAAGGAAAAGAGACTACATTAAAATTTAACAAAGTAACTTACTTTTTCTTGATAATCCAGCTCCAAGATTATGATTCAAATCAAAAGGATCTAAGAAAATTAAAGGAAGCAATAAGATAATCAAACAGGAAATGTCACTATTCATCTAATAAGTTAGGTCCATAACAAAAAAACACAACCTACTTCCTTATTGGTAAACGTATTAAATGACTGCCTTTTCAATGAGCATAAAACCCATTAATACAGGCAAGTAATACTCCTAAATACAGTATACAGGCGGTTTTTCCAAAAACTGCTCATTAGAAAAGAGTGCTGCTTTACATTTAATTCCTTATAAAATTCTTCATATTATGAAATGTCTAATTTTGGAAATAATGTCTGGAGAAGACACATAAAACTGACTGTTATGAAATGATGCCAGTTTTGGATGCATATAAAATATAAAAATATATTTAGAAACATTTTAGCCCAGAATGTTTTGTCTTGTACAGATCATGTCACATTAGAAAGCAATTCATTATAGAAATCAGAGATATTTATCAGGTAGGTAAATTAAAGCAACAGAAAAATATACCTATCCCAACAGCACGTCAATAGAATACAATTTCCAGCAGACTTCATATAAAAAAATGCCAATGGTCTTAAATATCTGCATCTCAAATATCTTAGCTAGCTTTGTATGTATATGATGTGCTTTGGAATGGCATTTGTCAGACAACCCAGAAAGTGGTAGGAATGATGAAAAGCACAAGGTGTCAGAGACAGATATCTATATTTATATAGTTTACATCTGTATCTATATGGTCTGAATGGTCTCATGAAATAAATGGGAGTACAAGCACTATTTCTAAATCTAAATACTATTTTACAGATGATTTAGTATTGCATACAATGATTCATAATTTAGGCATCATGTGTTGATATTTAACTATTTCGTTCACATCCCAAAACTGATAATGATGAAGGCAAAGGGAAAAATAATGAACTAATCCTTTTGGGGATCCCATCATTCAGAAAATGAGTGACTGCCTGCACATAAAGTATTCAAAAGGAGTGAAGATGTAAAATGTGGCACCTTACTCCTTGTCAATTATGCTTCTAAGAGACAATAACAACTAACTTCTATGGATAGACCAACAGTTCATTGGAGAATAGGACTTTCTCCCCTTAGTTTAACTTATGACAACTGCCACAAGGAGGTTATCTTCTTGTTCAGTGGGATTCTGGTTTTTGCTGGTTATTTCTGTGGGTTTTTGTGGAGGTATTTTTGGTTGTCTGCTTGGTGAGGCAGAGATAGTACTAAAATATTAAGATATTGTACAGTTAAAGCATTACTACTGTTATTGAACTTTACAGGTCTAGAAGAGCCAGTTATATAATTATAAATGTTTTCTTTCTAGTTTAGCCTATTACTAATAGTTCGTTTGAAAGTAATTTAAAAATTAAAAGCAAAAGACAATAAGGTTTCTAAAATTAAACACAAAACATTAGTAACTTGTAGACCACAAGAATCTATGATAAAGGAAAAAAACTGAAATTCTTTGTTTTGACACAAGATTCTAAAAAGTTAAATTCTCTTTATAACCCAGAGTGATCTGAGTTTCATTTTACAATGCTCACAGCATTAATTTTAATACTGCCAAAAGTCAGACATAATTATGTTAACTTAGAATAACCCATGTCAATTAGGTGATAGGTGTATATTTAAAAAATAAAAGAATTCCTATCAAAATCAGGAAAATATTTCCTTAGTCATGTCTCAGCTCATTTTACAGCATTTTATTTTATTTTATTTTTGGTTCCGGGGATCAAACTCAGGACCTCGCACTTTCAAGGCAGGCAGCAGAAACACTGAGCTAAAACCCTGGCCCTTTTTACAGCATTTTAAACTCCATTTTTGTGAAAATTAAAACCCCATAGGCTGAAATAAACAATCAACTGGTAAACATTAATGGCTCAAATGATCCTTGCATTTAGTGAAAAAGAAAAAGCCCTTTTCCTTTGGTGACAATAACTGTGAACATTTATAACTATTTATAGGTAACTTCCTTTATCAAGACCAAATAAAGAGCTGGGAATGGTAATGCACACCCGTGATCCCAACACAGAGGCTGAGGTAGAATTGCTGTGAGTTCTAGGCCAACCTGGACTACACAGTGAGTATCAAGGCCACCACAACCTACATAGTGAGAATCTGTCTCAAAAATCCAAAATCAAAACCAAAACCCAACCAAACCCAACTCAAATAAAGATCTTGATTATTCACTTTTTTTTTTTTAAAGACAAGAGTCTCACTATGCAGCCCAGGCTCGTCTCAAACTCACAGCGATACTTCTGCCTCAGCCTCCCCATTACAGGCATGCGCCACCATGCCCAGCTCTTGAATATTCACTCTTGATGGTATTCTCCAACCCTGAATTAGAGGTTTTATTTTACAAGTCCCACTATCTTCTTGGTTTTTAAAATAAAAGATGATTCATTTGAACGTAGAGGAAAAGGGGAAGAGAGACATGGTAGACAGCTACTACGGATGAGTAGGGAGTGTTCGAAAGGGGAAATACTTGTGGATTTGTCTGCAGCTCCTTTTATTGAGATCCTTGTCCCATGCAGGCTCCAGGAATATGAGTGGCTCCCTGGCTCACCTTTCATGGTAAACTTGGATTTCTTCTTGCCACGAATTTTCCCTGTCCTTGGTGGGGGCCTTATGGACAGGTTGTTTCAGCTTAAAGATTAAATAAAGGGGTTGCAGTATTTTGGTGCTGCCTTGCCTTATGGCTCCCTCTTCCTGTATGCATCTCTGAGAGTGAAAGAACTATCAAGGAGAACAAAGACTTTCAGATTTGGAAGAGGGCCCCACAAGAGGGCATTAATCTTTAGAATGGAAACAGTCAAGTCAGGCTAGTGTGGACAAAGGTAGCTCAGAACTGCCCCAGAGCAACTGTGTTATGAGTGTATGAGCAACACTCATAGTTTATATTCCTTACTCAAAGTCTGATTTTATTGGTACCTTCAATAACAATGTATTTTGAGGTCCACTGTTTCTTAAAAGTCGTAAGCAGGCTTTTTCTCCTGATGCTAATAACATGTTCTTTAAAGTCAAATTCTTCTGTGTAGAAACGAAGAAGTCCCAGCCACAGCTGCCCAACAGATTCTGTATTTTTCCCATATTCTGGCCAATAGATAGGCTAGAAACAGAAGGGAAAAAGGAAAGACATTACACTTTAAAGTGTTAATCCAGATATTCATTTCTATCTTAGGGAGTAAACTTGGGCTTACTTCTCATCAACCTGAGTTTCAATAAATAAAAATGTAATTATATGACTTTTTCCATATTTTAGAATACAATATGTTAGTTTATTAATCTCTACTGCATGCCTCGGAGATAGGTAGAACTCAAGAGCTCAGGACATCTCAGAACATTAGTCAGAGGATCTAGAAGGAAGTTCTAAAAACCTTGATGATGCTTAGGTTACTGGGTCTCTCTGTAGCCATGCCAAGGCTGTCCAAATTCCTGGTACCAAAACTAGAGTAAATATTTGTTCCTTTGGAATAGTTACCTAACCATATGGAATTATTAGGCATGAAGAAATACTGGAACAGTGCCTACATAATGCATAATGCCTAGAAACTCACCTGGCTTAAGTGCTACTTTCACTTTAAAAGAAACATCTGTAAATGCTAGGTTTTTTGGGTTTTTTTTTTTTACTATTACAACAGAAATATATACATGAAAATATTGTTACTGAACATCTACTGAAGCATAACACAGCTAAGTATGTAGAAAATCTTTACTCTTAAAATACGTACCAGTTCATCTATTTGATCAAAAAAATAAATATTCCAGCCATCAACAAATATTTCAGGTTTCTTTTCACCTTTGTACATCTGAAATTAATTTTTAAACTATTAGTAAGGTTTACAAACTTAAGCACTGACACAAAAACTTCTAGGAAAATAAAAGTTTAACTACAGGAACCACAAAATTCAGAGAAGGAAAGGGCTCAGAGAATAACCAGCTGTACAGAGGAGAAACGTAGCTTCTTCTCTGAATACCTCCTGCAGGACAGGAATGACTGGCGGGCTCCGCTGCTGGAGGAAATACAGCACCATGAGAGTGTATGCGTAGGAGGACAGGCTGCCCCGGGAAGCATCGCCAATATCGCACATCTGGAGGGGAGGAAGTGAGCAGAGAAAAGGTCACCAGGGCTTCCTGCGGAGTCTGCAGCCATCCTATTAGCACTAGAAGTGAGGGCTCATTTGAGAACTAATACAAAAAAGAAAATCACATTTTCAAAGCTTTTAACCTTTGTGCCAACAGAATCAGCCAACCAAACTGAACCCAACAAGGCAGGCTGTTAGTCACAAGTAAGATCAGATTATCATGTCAAATCTAAGATAACAAATAGTTAGCTTTATGTAAGGCTTCCCAACACAGGAAGCATCAGACATGTCTATTGTTCATCAAAAAATGCAGGCATTATATTTTCAGCAATGTTTGAAGATGTAATGAAATTTAGTGATAAATCACAACAAGCATACTCACCTTTGTAAATACTTTCATAGTATAACATAAATATTTTACTCTAAGATCAATAGCTGAGTAAGCAGATAAAAGTCTTGTGTTATGAAGGGCCTGTTAAAAAAGAAATTACACTTTAAGGCTACTGGATAAAAAAAAACATTTAAACTGGAATGTTCTTGAAAGGCTTACACTATGATACAGTTTAAGATATTAACTTGTCATTCCAAAGACAAGCCTTGTTAATGTGCCAGGTAATGATGAAGAATTATAAGTAACATCTGACCTTATGACTTCCATTATCTTTGTATGTGCTTAGCCTGAAATCTAGAAAATAAAAGGCTATTAAAATAAACAATCAGCCCCTATGAAGTAGATGTAAGTTTCCTTTTCCTGCCTCTTGGCATTATTTTAAATAAATGCCCTTAGGGATCAGAGAAGCCCCACGAAATGCTGATGGAAACTCGAGTCTACAAGAGGTAGAGGCACCTGGATTATATCTGAAAGGGTGTCTCCAAAGAGACACCCTACCCCAAATTACAACAAACTCCAAGACAAGTTAGAGCCTACCGCCCTGCATGGTATCCTTTGTTATGTTCTAAGTCTTGAATACCGCCAGGTAAGCACTTAAAAGATTTAAAGATAAAACTTTTTTTTTTAAAGTAGTGCTCAGGATTTAACCCAGGGTCTTTACATGGAGTTACATTACCAGCCTTTTTTTTAAATTTTGACACAGGGTATTGCTAAATTCCTAAATTACACAGACTGGGCTGGAACTCGTAATCCTCCTGCCTCAGCTTTCCAGAGTTCTGGGATTTCAGATATGCACCACTATGCCCTGCTCACAAGTAACTCTTGAAAAAATAAACAAGAGGAAGTGAATGGCTCATTTGAGAGTTAAGACACAGCCATTTCTCTTAATATCCTTTGAGAAAAAGCCTGCAGAAAATCTTACCAATGTGTTATACAAACTGATATCCACTTCCAGACCACTTCTCAAATGGAAGAATTTCACAATTGGCACCTTTGCTGTTGTAATAGGTAGGATGTTTCTCAAACCTAGGTCAGGAAATACAGACAATATTAAATATGGCAGCTGGGGATAAATGTAGTTCTTATGCTAATGTATCAAGATAAAAATGATGTAAACCTAATTTTAACTTGTTTTACTGAATTCTCTAGGACTAGTGAGAGAATTATGCTATTAACAAGCATGTGGAAAGGCTCTTCAGACCAAGTTTACGTTTGCATTACAAGGAATTAAAAGTTGGTCACTATCCTGCAGGAACTTACTAGATCCTAAGTGTAGGTGCATGCTACACTTAGTTTACATGGTGTCCACAGGTACATGCTAGTCTGACGAACTGACTAATACAGACTCTGGACCACACAACACTTACTTATTTTCTTCATAGGATCATATCTAATTTGGAGAAAAGCCTACGGGAAAATCACATGAATTCACACAAAAAAAGTTATTCACCATTGAGACAGAAGTTATGGAAGTAAAACAAAGAACTCAACTTCAGTGGGAGAGAAGGGGACTGCCTGAGCTAGGATTTGAAAAAGAGCAGAAGTTGAGGGATGCACTGGGCAGAGGAAAACTGTACACACACAGGATAAATGTCCGAAACAGAATGCCACACCTGGGGAACTTCCATGGAACTCTGCAGGCCAGAAAACAGACCTGAGAGAAAGAGATAAGAGTAATAACAGATGAACTGGGGATTTAGCTCAGTAGCACCATATCTGCCTGGCAAGCCCAAGGTCCTGAGTTCCATTCCCAATACCAAAAAAAAAGTAATAACATATAGGGAAGAAACTGGGCAAACTCAAACAGAGACACTTATTATGTGTTCTGCTAAGAATTATGCTTACAGACACTGAAAAGTCAAATGGCAGCGGTAGGAAGCCACTGACACATCTACTTCCACAGTGGCCCTGGCAATGGAGAGACTGGAGGTACTGTAACAGAGGCAGAATGACCCCTTATGAAAAACATCTAGGCCTAAATGAACACAGTGGCATGGGAATGCAGAGCTGAAGCAAGAATTCTGAGTGTATCTACAGTGCACGGGAGGAGGAGCAACGGCGAGAGGAGACCTTGTCCTGAGCACCAAATGTGAGAAGAGCGCTTCACAAACATTATCTCCTAGGAATCAGCACCCTTACGGAGGACACATAGAGGCCCAGAAACTCACCTAGGAATATGGAGCTGGTAAACTGTGCAGCTGAACTCAAGCTGAGACCAGACAGCTTCTATACTCCTACGGAATCAAGTCTAAGTCAGGCTAATGATCATTACACTCATTTTGGTGATTCCAAGAATGCCTGAGTCACGAAAGAGGGTTCGGGTGGAAGGGCAGATACTGGTGGTGCTTGCAGCAGAAGGGAGGCAGTAAAGATAAAGATGAGTTAATTCGAGAGGCTGGAGTTTGAGTTTCTTCCGGGAGAGTTAAGTGTGATGTATAGAAAACAGATACCATATTTCCCATAAATGTAAGGCCTAGTTGGAAAATAAGCCCTAGCATGATTTTTCAGGGTGTTCAAAATACAAGTCCTGCTCCAAAAATAAGCTCTAATTAAGATCATCAGTCAGACTGACACATTTACTACACCTGTTGCCAATACACAATGAATGTACTGAATTATAAAATATTAATATATAATTATAAATAATATTGACATTAATACTTTAAACAAATGATACTATAAATTAAACTAAGTACAACGTGAGACTTACTGCCAAATGACCAGAGTACAGACACAGGAATAATGCATGCCCTCAATAATGAACAGTCATGACTGTGTCTACTACAAATCTTCATAATTCAATGTCTTGTGTTGTAATGATTGTACATAATGCACTTGTGTTAAACATTTTCTGAATTCTGGTGCCTGCAATTTTTTTTTTTTTTTGCTTTTGTGTGGACTATCATTCTTAACTGTCATCATTTTTGTTGCCACTCCTGTCTCGTTTATCTTCAAATGATTTAATGGAAGCTTTGAGAAGCCAGCCTGCAAGAGGTCATGACTTGGATGAACAATTCATGGGATAAAAGCACTGACAGCTGTATTGCCAATGCACTTAAGAGTTGCATACGTGGACAATAAGTGCTCATTTAACGACAGCCCTATTGCTGCTGGACATGAGCTTGGGGCCGGTGTTTCTACAGGAAATGGAGTCCCAAGAAATTCAGACTGAAATTTCTGTCTTGGAGGATTGTGATGATATTCTAGAAGATAATGTGACTGTATCTGAATAAATATAGACTGTTGTACAAAAATAAATGTAGAATGCTGTATATGAAAAAGACATTCCCTGAAAATAAGGCCTACTGCATCTTTTGAAGTAAAATTAATGTAAGACCCAGTCTTATTTTCAGGGAAATCTGGTATACAGTGGTCACATCACAGAAATTAGGAAAAAAGAATGTAGATGATTGAAGGTTTTTCAGGAAAACCGGCCTGTGTAGGGATAGAGGAACTCTAACTCACACTATGGAGAAGAGTGATAAAGAAGTCCATCTAGTGACTATATAGATCATGTCAGGCTTGGTATGGATGTTCAGAATGGGATGCTCATAAGGCTGAACGAGCACACCAGCAGCAAGTGGGAGGCCAGAACCAAATCCACACAGCTGGGGCTGGGATGTAGCTCAGTGGCAGAATTTATGCTTTGAGTGTGATCCTTAGCAATGAAAAGCAAAAATCAAAAACCCCACAGAATCTGACTGCAGAATTCTCAACAGCTACTTTATTGTTCTGCCTTTAAATTACACAAGCCATCTCCTTCCTCTTCAGGAGTTTAACATCTTTATTATAATATAGTACTCATAAACCTGTCACCTAGGATTTATTCACAGCAAATCATCCTGGTTCTTTTTTATCATTCCAAAGGTTCCCTTTTCAGCCCGCATTCCTAATTTCTAGTACCTGAAATTAAGGTTTAGTCCTCGACCTCTCTCTAATGATCCTTTACAATATGTTTTATTTTTCATAACAGTCTCAGTGTCTCTCAGGCGTTGGATGCTAAAACTTTTATTTTCATCTTAAATCCTGACAACTTCATATTTTTAACTGCTTGCTGGGCTGCTAACTCTTGAAAGGTAATACTTTCATAGTGAATCAAATACTTCCAAACAGGTATTCACTGCAAACACTCCCATTCCTCTGATACTCAGATATCGGCCTCTAACCTTATTGCCTACCTGTAGGTACCAAATTTTTTAAAAAATTCCCTTTGGAATCACTCATCTTTTAACTAGCAATCTGGCTAAGCCATTTTTCCCTGATATCTGTACTGCTCCCTCCCTAAGACAGACTACATCACTTGCCCAAATATCTTATGTCTTGCTTCAAATGAGCCCCCACCAAGAAATTTCAGTGGCTTCCAAATATCTACACTTCACCTTATCTCCTATTTCCATTTGGAACTCCTCTCCACATGTATCAATCTCACTATCCTTTAAAATACACTACCATAATTGCCATGTTCATATCTATGCATGCTTAAGAATGACTTTTCTCATCTTGGAAAAATTATATCATCATCATTGTCATCATCACCATCACCACCACCACCACCACCACCATCACCAGAGATGAGAATATACCCACCTTTTCAGGACTGTCCCTATGTGACTCTTTCTCATAATCTCTCCCCTCAGAAGTTATTTAATTCTCAGTAGAGCCTGTATTACTCATTTGGTGATAGGTGAATACTACCAAAATTTTACCCCATTTGTGAGATTATCTTATTTCTTATGATTTCAAAGCTAAGGGAAGACTTATGTAGATTTCTTTTTATTTTTCCACTACTCTTAAGTGCCCTACACCATGATGAGTAAACAGTATGTACCCAAGCAATGTTTTAAATATCATCCTCTACCTGTTAGTAAGTTCTTGGCCATGTAATCTGCATTTATGCCTCTGTGTGTCTAAGTAATTCCCATCTAGAGACAATCTGTCCTGAACATGCTTCACCCTTGAGGAAATACACAATGAAGAACCCAGGGAGAACAACATATCGAGAACAAGTAATAATCAATGATAAAACAATGAAATTGTGACAACATAGTTCTTAAATTTCTTTGCATAATCTTTGAAACAAAAACAAAACAAAAAGAGCCCACGTGATCTTTAGAGGTAAAATTTTCTGGAAAATATCTTTTCAATGACTAAAGCAAATTATATCAATGTACAATAAAAAAATATACTCAATGGTTAATTTTCATTGGGAGTACATCAAAATTAAGAATTTTTTAAATATTTAAAAAATGTGGTAGTCACTTTATTTAAACTCCTAGAAAAAACCAGGGACACTCAGAGTATATGTCTGTGAGTATACTTGGCGATGCTATAAATTTAAGTCTACTACTGACTGAAATGTAAGAGAGCTTTGTCACAGATAGACTAGATCTTAAGTTACACAAAGGTATAGTATTGTTTACTTTCAATTCCAACTCTCAGACCATAGTACTTGTGAAAGTACATTTTTAAAAGATGCTTTTCAATGTTTAGAAGCCCTCACAGCTGCCCATGACAGCAAAAAAAAAAGTGCCAATGGAATTTTAAAATATGTTAATGACATCTGTGCATGATGTACAGAATCCACACTTTACAGCAGCAAATACTTAATAAACCACCCAGTTCCATTTTCTTCATTTATTAATAAAACATTCCAAATGAAGCCAAGTCACTGCTCATATTGCGATAGTTTGCTGAGCAAAAGAGGAACAAACACAACCCCCATGTCACTGCGCATGGCTTTTAGCAACTCCCATGCCTTGATTTACACATTATCAATGGCAAATGATTGTAAAACTTTCTTGCCTAACGTGCTTTGTCCCGAAATAAAACAGAGCCAGGGACACTATGCACACAAATTATCACCAACTCCTCAGCCTTTCCTAGTTAGTTAAAACAACAATATAGAAATATTCTATAAATGAGCAACTATATAGCTTCATTACCATTAACAAATACTAAGTACGCAAAACACTAATGAAAAAGATGGAATTTTCTTTGAGACAGGGTCTCACTGTGTGGTTCATGCTGGTGTTGCAATCACTGTAGAGCCCAGGCAGGCCTTGAATTCATGGTGATCCTCCTGACTCAGCCTCCTGAGAGCTAGGATTACAGGCACTCAGAAAAAGGAAATATTTTTATAAAGTTTCAGAGGTACCTGAATGTTTCCTGAGGACTCTTGCCAATTCTTCAATAGTTCTTACACAGTCCAACCCCTGCAAGAAAAATGATACAAATGACTGAATCAAAACTAGAGGATGGGCTCTTTAGTTTCTATTACCTTCAGAAATAATTAAAATAATTTCAACTCATGCTATGTACATTTTTTCCCTCTTAGCTGAGTATCAGTATTTATGGGAAATAATCTGAAGAAACAAAAACTGTTGCACAGCCTACATCTGGAGGCGCAGTAAAAGCTAAAATTAATCAGGAAGCCCACCAACCCACAGCTTCCTGAAAGCCTCTGCCCCTTGGGTGAGGACCTGGGTTCCTTCTATGTAACTCTCCCACTCAGAAGCACCTTCTGACCAAAACATGTAAGGGGAGACTTCACTGTCCCATCTTACTCATTCTGGGGAGACCTTCTTTACCATTTAATTAACAGTTGATGACTTGGAGGCGGAGAGCAATTAAACACATTAGTTCTCCACAGGACTAGCCAAAACTACAATGTACCAAATTAAAGTCATATAACAAAGTATTTCAAATAAATCACACTTAAAAACATTTTTTTCTGCCTCTATCAACATAAGATCATTTTATGCCTATATATATCCCAAACCATATTTGGAATTTGACTTGAGAAATACCCTCAAAACTAGTTTATAAAACAAAAACAAACCCACTGTAGCATGCTGTCATCTCAGCTACTTGGGAAATAAGGCTAGAAGATCACAGGTTTGAGGACAGCCTAGGTACTGGGGATATAGCTCAGTGTTAATGTGTTTGCCCAGCATGCAGCAAGCCCTGGGTTCAAACTTCAGTACCACAAATAAACAAACAGGGACTCAGCACTTCTCTGAATTTACCTTTGTATAGTTTTTATAAGTGCCTTCATAAATGTCCAGAGATGGCAAACTTGTTTTGTGGACCATATGGTCTCTGATACAATTATTAAATTCTGCAGCCACAGTGTGAAAGAAGTCACAGGTGAAATATAAATGAATGGGTGTGGTTCTATTCTATTCTATTTATAAAAACTGGCTGTGAGCTCATCTTGGCCCCCGAGCCACAGTTTACTGACCCCTGACCCAAATGACTGTACACAACAATCCCTGAAGCAAGTGGAACAGATTTTTTTTTTTTTAATTTTGTAGATTTGTACCAAAATCCATGTCTCTGGACTATAAAGTCAGCATTCATATCACTTACCACATTGCCTGCCTGATTAAAAGAAATTATGACAACTCTGTATGGCTGTGTACACCCAAGTCAGTCTAGTAGCCAGGCTAGCGGCGCAGTGGCGAAGCTAGTTTGGCTCTGTGGGATTCCCCAATGTGACTTTCCAATCTACTTTGACTATAAATTGAAGGTACAAGGCTTTCTGCTGTTCACATTTAGCTCTAGGCTTCTCAGTATATTTGGGTAGAGGGTGAACCACATTATACACACAGTTTGCCCTGATAAATCTGGAAAATACCAAGCTGTGCTCTCCCCATCAAGATTGGTCAAATCACATGGCTGTGGCAAAGGCAGGTTTTATGTGGTCACTGTACCTCAGCAGTTTCATGTCCATTAATTGTCATACAGACGTCAAGGTCACTCTGTTTGAACCCAAATCCATTTTTGGAGGAGCCAAACAAGCTCAATTTAGTTCCTGTTAGGGATATATGAAAAGTCATAACTAATTACCTGAATATATTTAATTTTTGATCAAAACGGCCCTCTCATGAATCAAAAGTACCCAGCTGGTAACTATCCTAGCTCATAACTGTTTGCTTATAGTCATTTATTCTAAAACATTTTCTTTTAAAGTTTACTTTCACTAAATTCACAAGTTATACACACCATGAAAGACTATCAGGTACCACTTTATTCTTAAATGCAAGGATATTGCAAAGAAAATATAGATAACCGCAACATTTTTAATAATGTAAGATTATTATTTTTTAAGTAAATGTTCTTTTTTTCTTTTTCTTTTTGGTACCGGGGATCAAACTTAGGTGCTTGCGGTTGTGAGGCAGGCAGTGGAACCACTGAGCTAAATTCCTGGCCCAATAAATGTTCTTCTTAAAGATGTGAACTTTAACCATAATACTAAATAAAATTCACTTGTGGCATCTGCTAGAAGAAATCCTACACTGTTAATGTTTTCTCTTAGTAAACTATGATTTGGCAACTAACCCAATCATCACCAGGTCATTTCATTCTCAGAATTAATATGTTCTATAATAGGTCCTTATTTGAAAGGAGGGTCATATTATCTTTCTTTCCTTACAGATATTTAAAACATTACTTACCCGGAAAGTCTTGTCTTATGAAATTCTCTAGGTTTTGTCGAATATGTTCACGAGCCTGCTCTTCTGAAGTATTTGGAGAAAAATCCTCTAAGATAGACACATGGGGGGGGGGGGGGAAAACATTCTTTGAAAACACATACACACAAAAAAATGCTTTTTTAGAAAGTAAAACCTACAAGGTTGAATAAAAAACCCTAAACTTTATACCTTCTCAATAGATAGCATTAGCAATATAAAATAAGTAATGCATTTTGCTTGCTTGCTTTTTTGGTTTTCTTGAGCCAGGGTCTTGCTACGTAGCCCAGGAAGCCTTTAACTCCTTATATATCCCCAGGCTGGCCTCAACTCTGTGACCTTTCTGCTTCAGCCTCCTGAAAGCTAGGATTACAGGCATGAACCAGCACACTTGGTTTCTCCAGTAAAAGTCTGTCACCAAAAAAGTGTTCTTGAAATGGAACCTAATTTGGACAGAAGCTCAGCATCTGAGTTTCCAGAGACTCCCAGGAAGCAAATATAAAACTGTGTGACTACATTGATATAGTTCTTTTTTTCCCCTTAAACTCAAGAGAACCTACTTTTCTTTTATAGTTCTTAACTGCCAAAAGGTTCATTTAAAAATTCACTGATAGATAGCTGGGGAATGGTGACACATACCTGGAGATTCAGTTACCTGGGAGGCTGAGACAGGATCATTTGAGCCTGAGTTCAAGACAAACCTGGGCAACACAGGAAGCCCTGTCTCCAAGATGGAAAACAAAAAAGTCCCAAAGAGCTGGTTAATAATAACACTCATCTTGCACAGATTGACACCTCAAGATGCAGCAACGTGAAGCATCAAACTGCTGCACTCGAAGCAGTGGAATGTCCTTTAGGTGCTGTCTCTGTAGAACTTTAAATCTCTCTTACACTAGTGCGTCTCAAACTGGTTTTGTGTTCCATAAATGGCTGTTATGCAGGCTATTTATCAATGTTAATTAAAAAGTATTCCATGCTCAAATTTTGGAAATGTTAAACAGGGTGAAAGGTCCTTTACCATAACTTGCTCAGAAGCCTTTACTACACTAATGTTCCCTAGAAAGCTCCTGGGGAGATGGCAGAGGAAAAATCTATACCCTACTAGCCAGGAATTGCTTCTGCTTATGCATTATTAAGTATACCTACAAAAACATTTCAAGGAATGGCAGTTGGGAAATGCTAACAGAGAACTCTCATCTTAAGACCTAAAAGAAAGGGCTGAGGAGGGGTGGTGTTAGAGCTATTTATCAGGTACAAGGCTGGGGGTTGTAAATCCTTGCACAGGGTAGGAAGGAGTATGCTTTAAGGACCTCCTTCCCTTCCTGTCTGTCTTTCACAATGAACTTATTGAGTGTCCCAAATGATACAGCTATGACATAAAACACTGTTGATACCATGGATAATGAATAGTGCTTAGAGTGCTAACAGGACAGTGACTGATGCTTCCTGAGTAAATGGCAATCTACTATTCTGACAAATCGAGAGATGCAAATAACTTACTGTAACACTGGATGCAAACTTGATCTAGGATATACGAAAACTTGGGTGTTAGTGGTGGCAAAGGTTCCAGCTGGATTCTTTTGAAGTCTTCAGGACAGTCCTTTTTCAGATGGCCTTCTCGTTTACATAAGTTGCATACTACTGTAGGAGACTGCAGGAGTATGGGAAAGTGAAACAAGACGTATGACAAAACTATTTGCCAAATGAGGGGGGGGGCTAGATTTTTTTTTTAAGCACACAATGAAGTATAATATATAGCCAATCCAAATGATCTGGGAGATGGGAATACCCTTATGGTACAGTAAGGAGAAAAGGGTAGTTACTAACAGTAGTACCTTCCTTCTTTGTAGATTGCCGGAAATCTTAAGAAAGGAAGTGGAGGATCAAGTGATGGTATTAGGATAAAAGACAAATATGTTAACTACAACCAAAAGGGAGTCTTATTCTGGTATTAAAGTTGAAATTGTATGCATTAAAGTGATCTAGTCTCCTAGTTTTCTAACAATGGTACTGATTACCTTGCCTTTGGTGAAGATAAGTTTACTAAATTCATAGACGAAATCAGACTGATCCACAGGTGAATTTTCCTCTTGTACATTTTCCTCTTTAAAATTTATTTTATTAAGTTCCATGAGTAGAGCTCCATCTACATGTTTTCCACATTCTTTCAAGTCTTCATGCTTGGTAGAGTCAACTAATTCATCCTCCTCTTCGGACAGGGCGCCCTCATCCCCTGACCCAGTGTAGGTGTTGTCTAACTCATCTTCATTAACAGTGCCATCCCCAGCTTCCCCTTGGTTAATGGTGAGTCTGTGTTCCTCCTCCTCTTCCTCCTCCTCATCAAACAGAATTATTTCTGATGTGTGGCCTTGGATTAAAGAGTCTTCCAGTTGACTGACACTCTCTATACTTTCTTCAGCATTGGTCTTGTCATCTAAAGTAGCAAATCCATCACATTTTTTAGCCACAGCATCTTGGATGTCTTCTAACTTCAAAGCGCCATCTGTCTCACAATTATGTGTACCACCACAGGCTACAAGCTCTCCACACCGACAACTGCTTAGACTTTGAACAGGGGCAGTCAAAGGACACTTGCCTTCCCTTTCAATTTTCTCTTTCTCATTTTTACTTCTTCTTTCTAGTGCCTGGTCACAGCTTGAGTCTTCTAGATGGATGGTGATGTGCTCATTTTCCACTTCCTCTGCGGGTGGGCTTCCAAAGCTTTTTGCCATCTCTTTAAGAGACAGTGGCTGTGCCTTTCTGGTATTTGTAGTTGAAGCGGTAGTAGCACCAGGACTCTGAGCCAAAACTGAGTTTCTGAGCTTGTCATCTTTCGGTTGTACATCTGGTTCATAATTTACTACTTCTTTAGAATGTTCTGAAATATGTGAAACTGGGCTCAGAGGCTTTGGAAGACTGGATTTTCCAACTGTGTGTGGAAGAGCAAAATATTTATATGTTGTCCTTAAACAATGAAGGATATATTCAAACACAGGTTGATTATTTAGGGTCCTTGCCACATTTCTCTTAACAGAGTAGGGATCTGTAATAAAAAAAAAAAAAAAGAATCATTTCATATACTTCTATTTAATGCTTTAAAAATTAGCCTGTTGCAGATAAAAACACGTAGCAAATAAATAACAGTAAAATTTATCACATGCTTTAAAAAATCAGAGGCAGGGAGTGAGAAGATACAGTTTAAGAACAAAACACAATGTTTTCTGAAACATCAGTTCTCTGAAGAGAACATGTCCTGCTCAGAACCAGTACCCCTTCCCTATTTTGCTGTGTGACTGGGAGGTAGGACAGACGACATCAGTGTGGCTTTCATGCCCTCGGGAAGAAGGTCTTCCGGCAGGCTTTGCAGCTGAGTGCTCTACTCGCCCTCAGCCAGCCCTGCGGTTTGTCGAGCTTACCTCCACTCTTCTGCCCTGGGAAGCCCCATCACTGAATTGGCTGGACTGAATTTCTGGGGCGAGAGGGAGGCACCAGGAGGAGACACCACTTCTCTCAATCTTTTCTCCTCCCCTAGAACTCCAGCAGGTTAGGCAATTGGCCAGAAGAGCTGAGCCAGAGAAACTGCAGGGGAGGGTTTAAAAATGTGAGATCCCCATGACTCCACACAGAATTTATGCAAAATGCAAAACCCTCTTATGCAACATAAAGCTTGAAAAAAAATCAAGCAAAAATAAAGAGAATTCCATTGAGGAGATTCTTTAAATTATTTAAAGGAGGAGAATTAAGATTTCTAGAGGGGCTTCAACCTCCTGACTTTGCATAACTGAGAAGACCTAATCTATCTGAATGACGTGTACAGGGCACATTACTTTGTCTTTGATACAATGATTTCAGTTCAGCAAGACTTCACTAAAAAAGTGTTTTCATGAGTAAGTTACTGCATATTATTTCAGAAATAACAATTTAGTCTCTTTATTAGAGTGATATCCAACTAAGAATATCAGTTTCATGAGAAGAAAGTTTTTCTCGCTCTGTAAAACTAAACATCAAAATAATCCATGAAAGGAGACTATGTTTGGAAATCTATATATGAGAACAGTAAAGAAGAAAGGGAATTCACAGATCACTGGGAACAAATGCTAGTTGTAAAGCAGGGACCCCACTAGCCATTATTCAGTTACTTAACAATTAAGGCACTTAACCCAGGAAGAACTCTTTTGCCCCTTAGAAGGACTCACTGTTACAAATGCAAGATTATATTTATTTTACCTTTGAGGTCAGGCCTACCCTTACAAGCAGGAGTTGAAAAGAGACTGAAATAAAAAACATGCTGTTAGACTGTGACCTTAAAAAAAAAGAATTAAACATTTTGAGATACCTTCAATGGCAATGCGCTTTTTGGGCCAATCTTTTGATTCCCGAGATATTGATTCTTTGACACGGATACTTATCACTAAATCAGCCAGATTAAATTCTAAAGCATAGAATCGCAGCAACTCCACCCACAGCTGCCCAACTGGTACTGAAGGCTGGTGTTTTACTTCAAACATTAAAGACACCTATTAATAGCAAAGAGAACATACAGATTATTTCACAAGTCAGTTCAATCTGAAAAACCAGAGATCATTCAAGCATCAAATTAAAAAATCTGAAAAATCTTAGCAAAGATATGAATTTGACAAGCCACCTAAATAAATCAAATTAAAGGTTCTATTTTGCTTGTGGTGAATAAATAGCATTGCTTTGCTGCACCCCTGGGATCAGAGTATTTTACAGTCCAGCAATAATCATAGGAATAGAGAGAGCTATTTATTTCCTATGCAGCACATCTAATTCTGATTTCTCACAGGAAGAGGCCCACACAGTTTGTTAATATTCTCAGCACGGTCCTCTTCCTGTCACTGCTCCTGGAGGGCACTTGTATAGATATGGACACATAGCTAAAGGACAGAAAAAGGAAGAACACTCCTCTCATTGGCTGGATATGATACAAAAGCACACTAAACCTGCTGGTGGCAATTAATTTTAAAGTCAAATAACTCTCAATAACAAAGTGATACTAGTTCTACAATCACAGACCTTTGACAAGTTAGAAGTGAACACTTGGTATAATATATTGGAATATTTATAGGACTTAGGGGAAAAGAAAAGTCCAAAAAATGACTCTGCCACTTCATATTTCTTCGTTGCTCTGAAACTTGGCTTGTCCATTCTTAGACTAGCAGCACGCAAGAGTGGCTTTTTAAAAAGTTGGCTTTGGAATTAGGACAAGCTTAGTTTGAAATCCAAACTCTGCCAAGTACTAGCTGTGTATAATCCTGGTCATGGTCTATGACCTGTCTATGACCTGTTTCCTCATCTGAAAAATGGGGATAACAGTACCCACCTCATAGGGTTGTTGGGAGGACTGAGTGAGATAGTGTCTGTAAAGTGCTTAGCACAGTGCCTCGCACACATTGTTCAAAAAATGGTCGCTATCATTATCTGCAGAGTAGGGACGGTACCACCTACAACACAGGACAGTTACTGGATTAAATCAGAAGCAAGGGAAAGCATCTGGCAGACTCAGCTGCTCTCTGTATTTTTCAGTTACATATAGTCTTTTTAAGTACAAGAAATCCATACATCATTGAAACATAATGTCACACTGTGAGATGCGCTTAGAGGCAATCTAGCTCAGCTCACATACAGTACTCATCACAGATCACACTGCTCCTCAGGGCAACTTGATCACAGGCCACATGCAACTTCCACAATGTCTAGAACGCACTTATTTTCACAAGTGGCAGCATAATCTCTCCCATAGCATAAAAATGTAAAACTAAAGCAGCAAGTGGACTTACAGCAGTAGCCTTTTCTTCACATTATTCCTATCACTTACACTGAAAAAATTTTTCCAAGGTATACAAATTTGTCTCTGATCAGTATTTATATCATGCTTCAAAATAAGTAGTATTATAGTTCATTCATCAGTAAATCTCAACCACAAAGATTCTCATCTGCTGGACTTACAAGGCAGAACTGACTGAAAATGGAAACCGTCTAGGTCCCAAACAATACAGTTGAGGACACAAAGAAAACTCCAAGAAATCCAAAGTCTTCTGTTTTACTTCTTTATCCATGGACTTTTTCAGCTTTACAAAGAATTTTTTTAAGCATCTCACAAAATGACTTGAAAGTACTGTAACATGGAGCTTCAAAGACCTTCAAAATATTTAGCATACTGGTACTTAAACTGTTTTTTGGAAAGTAGAGAACATTTCTTTTTCAGGTAAAGGAAGAATTGTAGCTAATATCTGAGTGCTTACCACATACTTGGCACTGAGTTAAGCATTCTATAGATCAGTGACCCTAAGAGAGGCACTAACGGGATCCCCATTTCTAAGGAGGAAACCGGCGTAGGAGGGTTAAGGAACTTGCACAAAGACACACAGCTAGGAAGTAGGAGAGCCGGAACATGAATTCACACATTCTAGCTTCACAGCCTGTGCTCAGCTGGAACTCTGAAGAGAAAAAAGATAAAAGTGGTGCTATGCTGCTGGCAGCAGCACTGCATAAGGATTCTGAAAAATGTAACTGGAGAATCTATGATTCACCACTGTCTCATTTCAAGCATGAGGAGCAGACGGGAGCAGTGACAGGACACTTCATTGTAGAGCTGGTACTGCAGTCCAGGTCTCAGAAATATTTTGTGGCTATTACTGTCACTTTACTCCAAAGGGGTTACAGGAAAGCTCATGGGGTCAGGGACCTTTCACCATTTGGGGACAGAACTCTATTCTTATCATCAGTATAATTACATTGCAGATTTTTGTTTGAAACTCTACCAGCAATTCTTTATGTATAAATTGCCCTGTGCAACCTTAACAGTACATTAAGTCATATACTGTTTCATAGTTATTTTAGTAATTTGAAGTTATCTTTCCATACATTTAAACTTCATAATACCACCTGAGACCTGAGCTCTTTCGAGGACAGATAAGGATTTACCTCTGAACTCTCAGTATCCTTCCAAGGGCTCTGTACATGGAGGAAACCTCATAAATAAATGGACTTTGTGATCTAAATTTTACCTTTCTTCACTAATGGTCTATTTTTAAGGGACTGAACAGACTAGGACACAAAATAGCCACCAAACAGATAAGACAGTTAAGGAAAGAAGACAGGAAGACTAACCCATAAGCTCCCACTTAACTGATGTAAATATCAATGGTAAAACCAGTAGGGAGAGATAACAGACCTTCCCCCTTCTGACAGGCATTTCTTTTGATGCCTCTTCCTTGGCTGTGTTTGTGTCCCCTGCAGCATTATCCGTATATTCCCAGATCACAGAATCATCCTCAATGTCTTTAAGGTTGAAGTTCCCTAGTTTATTTAATGAGAATCCTTCAACCTAGGAAAAATTAGACAATTGCAAGTTAGAAACAATTTTGTATCAATTAGAGCACATTAAAATTGTGGAAGAAATGAAAAGTTAACATAGTTCATTGAAAACACATGTATCATTTATGGACTATCTGACATAACAAATATAAAAATATTTCAAAAAGTGAAATATAAGATATTGATTTGCAAAAGAAATGCTAACTTTGTGAAGTAATTATTTTAGCAAATATTCTGGGCTGGGGTGCAGCTCAGTGGTAGAGCACTTAGATGGAATCACAGGAGGCTTTTGGTTCCATCCCCAGCATTGTGGGGGACAGCAGTGTGGCCTGAGTGGTTACAGCTGTGAGTTCTGCAGTAAAACCGATGGGCCCCAAATCGAAGCTCCCTCATGTACTCTGGATAAAACATACTTTGTTTAGGCCTCCACTAAAGAGATGCAGTTATAAAACTATACCCTCTCCTCCTTAAATAATTTAAAATATTATTATCCTGGATAAGTCCAGAATTCCAAGGTACATTTTGTTTTTGAGACAGTCTCACTATGTAGAGTTCAAACTGGCCTTGAACTTGTGGCGACCCTCCTGGCTTAGCCACTGAGGCATATGCCATCACATTCAACCCAAACCACATGCTAATAATGAGCATTAATGCAAAAGAAGAGTCTGGGTTCAAAAGCTCTGCGAAATGTTGAATAGAGCTGATTGGGCCTCTATTATACAATGGACTCATCCTAGTGTGACCTACACTGGATAATGAACAGACTAGGCCATGGGAGGGTGTGACATGCTAACATGCTGGCCAAGCGCACCTCCATTCCACTCAGGCCACACTGCAGATGCATCCGCCTCGTTCAGGTGCTCCTCCAGGGTCTTCTTCTCTAACTAGCTTCCTATTTCTCACTCTTTCTAACCCACTTTGTTTTTCCTCAGAAACATTACTGCCCCTTGATAGGTACTTATTAATCCATCCACTGGATGGTAATCTTGAGGGTGAAAACTTTGTTTTTTTTCAGTACCCAGAATTACAGCTGGCCAGGGTAAAATCTCTGTAAGGACTGTGATGATTTATGGAATGAAAATATTCTTCCAAGCAAATACCTGAGAAAATACAAGGTGTGGCAAATGCTTGTTAGAACTACGTATTTGATAGTTCCTTCAAGTTGATGATTTTTTGGTTTTCTTAATGAGGTTTTCTGAATAGTTAAGATGCTAAAGTTCGATCAAGTTAAATTTATCAATATTTTTCTTTATGGACATATTTCACATTTTTATTGTTCTGAGAAATCCTAGCTACAAATATCATTCTGGCAGTTTTCATTTAGATCTTTCACTAATTCTGAGTTAATTCTGGGATATGCTGTAAAATAAGTTTAATTTTTTTTTTCTTTACAAATACCCAGTTCTGCTATATCATTTACTGAAGAGATTTCCCCCTTCACAAAGAACTGCTTAGGCACTTCTGTCAGAAAGTGACTAGATTAAGTCTTTTTTTTTTAATTAAGTGTTTTAATCCCTGAAGCCTTGGTGTATCTCTACATTGGCCTATGTCTTATTTCATTCCTTCAGGATTCAGTTTAAAAACTTTCAGGATTCAGTTTCATTCTTTCAATATTCAGTTTAAAAATCTTAAATATCTTGTCTTAAATTTTCTTAAATATTGTACATTTTCTGGCACTATTGTTAATGTTTTTATTTAATTATTTTGTTTTGAGAGAAGGTCTTGCTAAATTGCCAGGTTGGTCTTTAACTCACAGTTCTCCTGCCTCAATCTCTTGGAATAGATGGAATTAAATAGTTATGCCACTGTTTCTGGCTCAATAGAATTTTTTTTTTGGCACCATGGAGCTAAATCCCTGGCCCTCAAAAGAATTTTTAAATCTTCATTTTCCCATTGCTTGCTGCTAGCATATAAAAGTACAATTGACTTTTATATATTAACTTTGCATTGTATGGTCTTATTAAACTTATTTTCATTCTAGGAGTTGCTTTGAACTTTTCTCATCATTGTCCATTTAAAAAAATGTCCCTGCATGCGGAGAAAGATTTACTTCTTCCTTTTATATTTTTATGCTCTTTCTTTTCTTTCCTTATTGCAATGGCTAAGATCTCCTAAAAATGCTGAATGCAAAAGGTAAAGATTTTAGGGGCATCCTTCATTCTTTATAACACAGGGAAACGTCATTCTTCCATCATCAAGTGCCATGTTTTTCACAAATGTCTACTTTCAGATTGAGGAATGTCTCTCCCTTCTGTTCCAAATTCCAGAGTTTTAGTACAAAAGAACACTATCAAGTGTTTTTGTCCTCTCTGCATGTTTTCATGAGCATACACCCTTCTTTTTATTCTATTAAAATGGAGGATTAAATGATTTTTCCTAGAGAGGTCTCATTTGGTCATGATACATCCATTTTGTATAATTTTTATATACATATTTCTGATTTTTTTTTTTTTTTTTTTTTTGCTCCTGGGGATCAAACTCGGGATCTGATGCTTGCAGGCTGAGTTAAATCCCTAGCCAATTTTTTTTTCTTTTTTGTACTAAGGACTGTAAGCACTGAGCTGCGTCCCCAGTGCTTTATTTATTTATTTATTTTTAATTGCGAGACAAGATCACACTAAATTGCCTGGCTGGGCTCAAACTTGTGATTCTCCTGCTTCAACCTCTCAAGAGTGCTGGGATCATAAAAGGTGTGCACCACCACACCTGGTTTTTCTTTTAGTTGATTTAACATTATTTTGCTAAGGGTTTTGATATCCATGCTCATGAGGGATACTTGTATATAGTTTTTTTTTGGTATCGGGGATCAAACTCAGGACTTTGAGCTTGCGAGGCAAGTGGCAGAACCACTGAGCTAAATTCCCACCCTATAGTTTTTTTTTTTAATATCCTTGGTGGTACGCCAGGGTAATTAAAAATATTTTATTAGTCCATGTTCGCAGTATGTAAAGATTACATTCATCACAAGGGGTTGGTGCATGGATAGAATACACACTAATTCTTTTTATGCTCCCTTCCCCTTGCCTCCCTACATTTCTTTGTATCATGGTAATTTTGGCCACATATTTTTACACACTGAATTTATATAAAATCTGTATTTTTCTCTTCCTTAAATGTTGAACAGAATTCATCAGTGAAGACTTGGGTCTGGGGTTTTCTTTGGCTATAGAGCTATTTTTCTTGACTTTTAAATTTAGTCTTAAAAGAATATGTAAGGGCCGGGGATTTAGCTCAGCGGTTCGGTGGCCTGCCTTGCAAGCGCAAGGACCCAAGTTCAATCCCGGTACCAAAAAAAAAACCCACGAATATGTAGACTTTAGGATTTTTAATACATTGGTATAAAATTTGTATAACGTTCTGTGAAAAAAATTCCCTTTTTATCCATTTATGGCTATTAAATTTAATGTGATAATCCTTTCATTCCTGATAGTATTAGTTCATGTTCTGATATTATTAATTCAAGCACCATAGGGGATTGAACCCACACTTTGCTCATGCTAGCTAGGCAAATGCAGTATCACTGAGCTATATCCTTGCTTATTCTGTTTTCACTAGGTATCCCACGTTGAACCCGAACTTGAAACTCCTGCTTCAGACTCCCGAGTAGCTGGTTTACAGGTAGGGGCCATTGTACTTAGCTGCGTTCTCTTTTGTAAAAATAAGTCTATCACAAAACAAACAAACAAACAAACCCTGAGACTGGTTTTCTTTTCTATTTTTCTTTTCTTTTTTTGAGACGGAGGTCTCACTATGCTGCCCAGACTGATCTCAGACTGCTCCCCAATATGTGAGCTCAAGTGACCTTCCTGTCTCAGTCTCACAAACAGCTAGGACTACAGGACTATAGGTGGGTACCCCGTAACTAGCCTCAGCCTGATGTTACTGATCAAAGAGACAGTCTGGCCTTATTAATTTTATTTACTGTTAGTCTATGAATTTTTTTGTGATACCAGGGATTAAACTCAAAACGCTATGCTTGCAAGGCAGGTGCAGCGCCACTCCAGCCCTAATTTCTATGTATTGATTTTGCTCTCATCTTACTACCTGCTTCCTTCTACCTGCCTTGGGTTTCTGATTTCTAGCTTTCTGAAGTTAAACTTTAGGACTTTGACTGTTGACCTTTCTTAAATTTAAGCTAATGAAACTTACAAATTTCTCTGTGTAAACTATTTACTGAATTTTAAGAGGATCTTGCTACCTTGCTGAGGCTGTCATTGAGCTTCTGATCTCAACTGACTCAGCTTCAGACTCAAGGAGTTGGGATTACACGTGTGTACTATCCTATGTGATTTCTACTTTAATCCATAGATCACTTGGATGTACATTACTCAAATATACATAATTTTACTAAATACCTTTTTTTTCTTTTTATTGAGTTTATTGGTACATTCTAGGTATACAGTACAGTTATAAATATCTTAATAATTAGCATCTATATAAATTCTAACTTAATCCATGTGGTCAGAGGACAATCCTTTTAAGTATATTGCATCTTCTTTTATTTTTGGTTTATTGAGAGAAGATCTCACTCTGTACTTCAAACTGGCCTTGAACCTACTATGTAGTCCAGGCTACGTAGCCTTGGATTCACAACGATCCTCCTGCCTCAGCCTCCTGAATGCTGAGATCACAGGTGTGAGCCACCACACCTGGCCCTGCAATTTCTTTTATGAACCACAGATGGTCTTCCCTGGTGGGCATATTACATGCACTGAAAAAAATGTGCACTCACTAGTTATTGGGTGGAATACTCCATAAATATTAGATCAAGGTGATTGAAATTGTCTACAGGGCCCTGATGTTTACATTGACATTTTGTTTAGCCAACACAGGAATCAAAAATGGAGAAAGGATATTAAAATTTCCTCTGACAACAGAAAGGACTTCATCAATTATTTCATTACACATTTTTGTGTTCTCTTTTAAGAAGCAAAAAATCTATGCTTGATTTGTTGTGCTAATGGACATAATGAAATGCACCTTTTGTCTTTGATTATACCTTTTCTCTTTAAGTCGATCTCATTGCATATTAATACAGCCTCTAATTTACTTTTGGCTATATTTTACAGGTATAACTTTTTCCATTCATTTTCTTTCATCTTATCTGTCTTTATAGTTTACTAATTGTATTACTCTAGAAGCAACAGACTTGGATCTTGCTTCTTAAATTCACTCTGATAATCTATGCCTTTTAATAGGGTGTTTAAGCCATTAATATTTAATTTTTTATATCACTGAGTATGTTTAACATTTTAGTATTTCTTTTCTGTTTGTGCATTCAGACTTGTTTCCATTTGGTTCTTTTTAGATTTTCACTATTCTGTGGCTGCTATCTTCTATCCCTTCATTTAATGCAAGTGTATTTCTTTTATGTTCTGGAGCCATGTTATAGAATCTTTGATAGCTCCCACATTCGGTTTGTCTCAGAATGAGTGCTATAGTTTGGGTGCTATCAGCCTCCAAAGGTTCATATGCCTAAAATCACTTGTGGTACTACCAGGAGGAGGCAGAGCCTCTAGAGGGCTGGGTCTGTGCAGTAAGATCCACTGGGGTATGACTTTGAGGGGCCTGCTGGGACTCTGGTCTCTTCTCTTTTTCATTTCCTTCCTGGCTACCATGAAGTGAACAGTCTTCCACTATGTGCTCCTGCCACCAAGATATACTGCACTCTCACAGGCCCAAAATAACTGGGACACAGCCACGGAATAAACCTCTGAAATCATGGATCCATATAAACTTTTCCTCCTTTTAAGCGAATTTTCACAGGTATTTTGTCATGGTGACATAACATAGTTGGCAACTGTGCTTTTTCTTTGACAGTGGGTACCATTTTCTTGGTGCTCTGTACCATGAATAATTTTGGATTGCATTCTGGGCATTGTAAATGCTATCTCATATTGTGAAAATTCTGGGTCCTTTTTTCCAAAAGATGTTGACAATCTGGATTTAGCAGGTAACTAATGTGGTTAGCTAAACTGCAAATTGTGGTAACTCCAGCAGACAGCTTCTTAGCCTAAGTTCCTATCCTTAGTTTGCCCCACATTTATGTGGTTCAGGAGTCTAATTACTTTTGGAAAATTCTGAAATATTTCTTCTGTTCTTTTTTTTGTTTGATTTTTTGTATTCCCATAACACGTTACAATGTTGAGTGACTGACCCACAGTTAGTTATTCCATACAGTATTTTGTTCTTCTTCCCTACCCTCCATTCCTTTTCTCTTTCCAGGAAACTGAGGTAAGTAAATAAGCTTTTAGTATGAACGTTTTACATTTACTGGCTAGCAAGTGAACTCTGTTTGGAAACTCGGACAATATAATTATGAGGATCTCAATGAGTTTCCCACAGAAATAATGTGTGCTAGGTATCTGGCATGAATAATATTAATTTCTTTCCCCTAACTCCTTTCTGTTTTTGACCCAGATTCTGGCAGAAGCCAGCAAACCAATGCCTGACTGTAACACTGAGACCAGCTTAACATTCTGGTTCAGAAAGCAGAGTGTGTCTCATTTGATTCACTCATGTTTAATCATCACATACCTATTTTTGCCATTAAATACTGGAAAATCAAATGATATAATCAAATTCAGTGTTGCCTTAGTGAATTTCCAGTTCCATTACTAAGGAACCAGTACACTGGGCACAGAAAAGGTATTCATACTACTCTTGAGCAAATCCTTCTCATAGAACACAAACCCAGTTTGTCTTATACCCATGTCAATGACAAATGGCCACTGAGAGGAATGGAGCACGTGACAGAGAACAGAGGTGCACACCTGCAGACCCAGCTACTGAGGAAGCTGAGGCCGGACTGATTGAACCCAGGAGTTCGAGGCCAGCTTGTGCTACACAGTGAGGCCCCATGTTTTTAATGAGTAAACAAAAGAAGAATAAGTTACAATGAGTCAATCGATTCCTAGCGTGTCGAGATGGTGTGTGAATTCAAGGATCAGATTAGGAAGCTGTACCCCAAGAAAGAATGCCTCAAATGATTAAATTTTACCCAGACTCAAAGTCTTTTGTCTGATATCTTCAGTTCTACAGGTATTTCAAAAACTAGGAATGTGCTATTTAGAAAGTGAGATATATCCCCAAAGGATTTGAGCAGGGCTTTGTTAATAAATATATTAATATTTAAACAATAAACAAAATAGATTTCATTCAGGTAAAATAAATATTTCAGTTCTGGTTAGATTTTAAAGCCATTCAAACAAGGATTTGTAGGTCTATCATAAAATCAATTATCAGATATAGAAGCAAAATCTCCTACCCATGATCCCAGATAAACTGGCAAAAGAGGCTCCTTCCTCTGCTGAAGAAAGAAAACAGCCATCAGGGCGAACACATAAGGCGGCAGGCCTCCTTCTTCAGGGCGGTCTACACTGCAAAGCTGCAGAGGACAGGAGACATTCTTCTTTCACTAGTTCGTGACTAAATTTGGCTTACACCTGTAACTTCATTCTCATACATTATATTATCTATAGTGATCCTTCAAAATAAAGCACCACAGTACGGGCCAGGATACAGTTCATGTGCAAGGCCAGCACCGCAAAAATGAAACAGAACAAACTACAAACAACAAGCAGCAGCACAGTGATGAAATATGCAACTTCCTTGTACTTTTGCAGCAACCACATTCTATGTTTTCGAGTAACAATTTCAATTTCAATCCTGCGAATTTACTTATGAAAAGCTCTAACATACTATTTGCTCATTTCATTTTGTGGTATCTACAGCAAATCCACTCCCTTGTTTAAAACATGTAAGTGAAATGACAATGACGACTGAGTTGCAAGTAGATGCCAACCAACTTTGCTCAGTTTAATGGTCTGCTCCTCTTAACTCTTAACCTCATGAATGTGTGTGCTTTGGTCACAAAGGTGAGTGGGGAGAAAATATGGGCAAACTCATCAGTGCTAATGGAAACAACTACAAAAGCCTGGCTTGCTTAGTGAAGAAACAGGAGAGGGTTTTTAGAGAATAGCATATTGTATTACCAATCCACCCAGTTAGGAGTGGGCCACCCCTGCTCATTCTGGAACCAAGACATGGAGCCATCTCTCCTTGCTGCTATGCCTTAATCAGGAAAGCTTTATTTTTTTTAAATGAACCTTACAGAATTATGATGTGACCCTACCTTTTGGGGGAACATTAAATGTGCTACCACTATTAGAGAATTTGGCATAATTTATAAAAAACATTATAGAAATCTTAAGCAAACCAGATAGAGTATCATTTTTTTTTTCTGGGTATGTTATTGGAAATGGTATGAGAGTGTTTTTTGCAAACTTTACCATGCCTAGGAACCATCTTAGGAAAGTAGTTAAAATGAAAGCTCTTGGGCCACATCCCCTTGGACCTAATCCCAATCTGACTTTGAATTAGCACTATAATCATTTTAATCTTTCAAGCAATATTGTTACTACAATGAAATAGAAACCGTAGCTTTTCCTTCTGTATATGTTAAAGTTTTTATTCTAATAATCAAATGTCTACTTTTTTGATGTCTCTAGATATGCACCTAAATATTTAAGATTTGGGTTTTGTTTTTCTTTCTGGTAATGGGGATTGAATTCAGGACCTTGCACTTGCAAGGCAGATGCAGTGCAACTGAGCTAAATCCCTGGCCCCTCAACATTTAAGATTAACCTACCAAATTAAAGCATCATGCTTTTGCCTATATAAAATATTTTCACACATTTAAGAACTAGAACCAACCTTTGCCCAGTACCTAAATGCAATCACCAGAGGAACCAGCCTTGGTTCTAGTCTTCCAAGGACAGATAAGTGCTTTGTTGTCAGACAAGCATTTTCATTTCCTGCACTCACTTTACAAAGGAGACCACTGGTGGTGGGGAGGGTGAGGATGAGAGAAGAAAGAAAAAAGTGTTATTGAAGTATCAGGATCTTTTACTTCAACAGCTAAATCACACTGACAATAAATACCTTAAAAATAACTAAAAAACATTAAATAAATGGGAAATCTGAAAAAGATGGCAGCTTATTTTCTGAGTAAACTTTATATTTTAGAACTAGAACTTGGTTAAAAATATTCTGGGGGGTGAGGCAAAAAAGGAAAATATGTAAAGGTTATCAAAGCAAGTAACCATTTGATAAGGTTTTTTACTTAGTTGAGTTGAGATGGATCAATATATTTGCTTCTATTTTTTTCTACTTTTTTTTTTTTGTGGTGCCTGGGATTAAACCCAGGGTTTCACACATGCTAGGCAAATGTTCTTACCACTAAGCTATATCCCTACCACTCTTCCTTTTCTAAATTTTGAGAAGAGCTCTTGCTAAATTGCCCTACATGGTTATAAACTTGAACTTCTCTGAAGTAGCTGGTATTACAGGAGTGTGCCACTATACCTGGTTAATTATTTCAAGATTTCCTCCTCTTAATCAAATGCCAAATATATAGGGAGGACGCTAATAGAAAGCATGTGAGATAACCGTGTAAGGAGCTTATTATCATTCTAGCATCTGGACAATGGGATTTAGTAAAGTACTTCTGTACTTTGTGTTTTTGGCAAATTGACAGTTCATAAATAGCTTAAAGAAACAGACCTTTGCTTCTCTCTGCACACCACCACTGGTACCCTAGCATGGAAATCGGCATCAACGTCAGTGAAGGAGTCTGAGAAAAGAAGAAAAAAAATTAAGTAGCTTATTAATAGCTTTGTTTAAAAGTAGAACCAGATAGAGTGTAAGAGTACAGGTATGGCTTATCTGTTCAACTGTTTCAAAGACTACTACTAAGTAAAATTCTGAAATGACCTAAAAAGAGAAAAACTAGTATTTATGATATAAATAAAATTAACTTAAAATCCTTATTTTGCAAATATTTCATTAGAAATTACCACAACACTGGATCTAACATTTAAATATTCTGCGGAAAACATAATTAGACATACAGGTAGTAAATTTAAAAGTAAAGTTGATCTAAAACCTACTAAAATGTTGTGTTAAAATACATATTGACTGAAAGAGAAAAATGATTACATGTTTTATTCAATCAAAACAAAAAGGACAGAAATGACTAATTCAAGCTTTGGGGCAGTTTGATGAAGCCTACATAAAGCAGACAAGCCTAGACAGCCCCAGTATGGAAATTACATGGCTCAAGAGAACCCACAAATCCGTCTGGGAACAAGTAGGGTGAGCTCATTAATCAGGACTGGTTCACCTGTTTACTGTCCGGAAAATACTTATCCATGTGACTGGATAAAGCAGATTATCCTTCAGTTTTAGCCATAAGAGTAAATTTTACATATTTTGCATTTCTTGGTCATAGTCTAGGACTTATTTAACCTTCATAAACAGTAGTATTATCAAGCTAAAAGCTTTATTTTGAGATGGTTATTTTGTATAGAACTAATAGTATTCTAACTAGGTAGTTATTCATCAGCATTTGCTTTCGTTTTAGCTCAGGATATTACCCATCATAAATAATTTTAATAACAATACTCCCTGTTTTCAGAATCTGACAAGATATATCCAAATTTATAGAAAAAAATTAATACCAAAATGTAGAAAGAATTCGGCCTTACCACTGTTTTTCAAACATTCTTGAACAAGTAAGAGGACATCTGGTTGAGACATCTAGGAAATAAACAAGCAAATGAATACATGAAATAATCCCAAAGTATTTTGCTTCAGTAGCATAGCGCACAGTCTGATGTTTTCTAAAGACATGAGTATTTAGTACACAGTAAATAAGTTATCATTATGCTTGCATACACGAGTCAAAAACAGAGATGAGTACCACATGAGGATGCGTGGACAAAAGAGGACTGTCACTGATTAAGTCCTAGGGAACTAGTTTTGTTTTATTTTGTTTTTTGTTTTGAGACAGGGTCTCACTGTGTAGTTCAGGAAGCCCAGGCTGGCCTTGAACTTGTGGCAATCCTCCTACCTTAGCCTCCCAAGTGCTGGGATTACAGGAGGGCCCCACCACGCCTGTTCTTAAGGTAATCAGCCTGTTATGGTTTATATCTAGTCCTCCAAAGTGAGTGTGAAGCTTCTGGGGGGAAGTGAGTGGGGCATGGTACTGGGGGAGGTACTCAATAGCGGGTCAATCCACCAATGAAGTTATAGCTAAATGTGATGTTGGGAGATACAATATGGTCAGTAGAGGTGGGCTTACCCCTGAGGATGAAGGGTTTATCTATCCTGTGTTTTCCTTACACTCTCCCTGCCTCCCCACCGCCATGCTGTGAGCTGTTCTCCTCATCCAGGCTCCTGCCAAGTCACTCGGCCTTGGAGCCAGTGGACTACAGGCTGAAACCTCTACAAACTGTGAGCCAAATAAACCTCTCCTTCCTCGGGTTGTAGGTGGTTGAGTATTTTGTCAAAACAATGAGAAAAGTGACTAAGATGCAGCCTTTCAGGAAATCTTGTGTCCCTCCCCCAGAACAGGGTATTGAACTCAGGGGCTTCATGCTGAGATATACACCCAGCCCATTTTTAATTTTTTAGTTTGAGACAGGGTCTCACTAAGTTGTCCAGGCTGGGCTTAAACCTGTGATCTCCCTGCCTCAGCCTCCCAGTGTGGAGCTAACAGGCATTTATGACCAAGCAAATCTTGAACTGGTAGCTGAAAATTTTCACACTGGTCACAATGCTACCTCTAATATGCAAGATACTGCAACAGATAGTTTACTAGTTCCAATTGCAGCACTACCTTTCTCCAATCCTTGTTGTATACTTCAATAAAACACATTTGAAATCATGAACTGGATCCTTAAAACGCTCAGTGATCTCTGACTACCCTTAAAGTCAAATTCTTACCATCAGATCTGTAAGACCTATAAGATCCTGCTCCAGCCTTATCTCTCCATCCTGATGAAAGCTCAGTTCAGACTGCCTCTCTAAAGAGCCCTTCAGGAGTGCCAACATCCCTGTACAGCACTTGCTCCTACCACAAACCTTGTTTCTCTCATTATAATTAATAAATACGTAGCTATTTATGTCCTTCACTAGAAAGAAGTTCCACAAAAAGGGAACTGTATTGTTTTGTTTTGTCCTTTAGAATAAAGTGCAGTACCTGCCATATAACAAGAGATTCAGAGCATATTAGCTAATGAATGAATAAGTGATACCAGACAAAACAAGTGCTTGGGTTGGTAAATCAATGATCACAATCTAAAGAAGATAAAACATATAAAACCCATTGGTTTTCTGACCAGGTAGCTTTAAGTTAAGTACAACAAGAAGTAAGAAGCTAAGAAATTGAACACCTATGAGTGGAATCATGAAATTTCTATTTTTAACAAACACCCCAAGGCCCTGGGCTTAGATCTGCTGTAAACCAGCCTGTGGGAACCACCAGCAGTCAGTGGATAATCTAAGCTCCTTCCAGGGTCACAGTTCTGATTTATTAGTATCTTTCTAAACCATATTTGGACCAGAAATCCAGGCTAGGGGTGGTTGTTGGAAAGCATATTTGCTTGAACATAGTTGGCATATAAAAAGAAACTCAGGAGCTAATTAAGCTTTAAGAGCATAAATTTTACAAGCCTACAGTTTCAAATATGAATTCTTTTCCTGTCACTAGAAAGTTGACCTTACCAAGAAAACTTCTTTTCAAATTAACAGAAACCTTAATACCCCATAGGATTCACATTCTGAGATGGGTGTGGTGGCCCACATCTGCATCCCAGCACTTGGAAGACTGAGACAGGAGTATGAGGCCATCATGGACTACACAGTAAGTGCAAGGTCAGCCTGAACTACACAGCAAGACCCTGTCTCAAAAACCAAAACAGACTCATAAGCTTAGAAAACTAATAGCTAAGTATGAAAGTATAAATTTAAGTATAAAAATGTATAAGGTAAGAGAAATATATTCTCTGAAGGTGTGAAACTGAAGGAAGTCAAAAAGACATAAAAATGGAAATTTGGGGGATAAAAAGCTATTTCACTAAATATATCTTTAAATATTTAAAATACATTTATACACAGTTCACATGGAACGAAAGAATTTTCAAACCACTCTGAAAATTCCGACGCTTCATTTCATACTTACAATGGCTGGAAATTGAACGTCAATGTTTACATCCGAATTTCTGAAACCCAATCGGCTACAGGAAGACCCATACAATCTTAGAGAACAATCTACAAATAAATACATAAAAGTCACAAATAAAAGTAAAATTTCTCAAAAGTTGCAATAAAAGTCTATTTCAGAAATAGAACTGTCAAAGCTATACACAACAGCAAAGCCAGTCAAGTCTGGCATAAACAAATGACAAGAAGTGGTGGTTCTTTGCCCATTCCTTAATTTTACTTAACAGGAAAGGCTGTGGTTTTGTTTACCATGATCAAGACGGGGCCATAATCTGCATGTCTCACTGCCAAACAGCTCTGATCTGAACATGTTACGTTCCTGCTGACTTGCACCACTGGTGTTCAGGTATGACTGTCCTGTCAGACGGTCCAAGCCACTTGCACGTTAGTTATAAAACATGTTTACATTCCCTACATTTTCCTGCTCACCTTTTGTGTAGGAAATTATATGCAATGATTTTTAAAATACGAAAGTTGAAAAGGGATACCTGTTTTACATTTATAAACTGTATAGTCAGCCAAGGGTGGGGACATATGCCTGTAATCTCAGCTGTTGAGACTGGGTAGAAGAAGCACTGGGAGTTCAAGGCCAGCCTGGTCTACAAAGTGAGACTACCTCAAAAAACCAAAAACAAAAAACTCTCAAAAGACCCTTAAGAGCTAATATACACATTTCACCTTTCAGGAAGCACATATAATTAAAATGTATTGTAAAGAGCTTGTTCCAGTAATGATAAAATTAATCTTTTAATAGTCACTTTTTAACATGATTTAACTTATTATTGACAGAATTTGACAGAATTCCCTTAGAAAAACTTTTGCAAAAATAATTACAAGACAGATACACCTTAACATGCTAGGCAAAAGCATTAGTATAATTCCAGCACTCTGAGAAGTTGAGGTAGGAGGATGGAAAGTTTGAGCCCAGTCTGGGCAACTCAGTGTAAAGTCTCTGGGTTCAATCTCCAGTATGAAGAAAAGAAAAACATCGACAGTAAGTACTTCCTTTTCAGAGGAAGGCAGGTATATACATATGAGTACCACCTGTTATGAATTCATGGCATGTATTTTCAATGCTTTACTAATATTTTGCTAAAATAATCCTTCTGATCAAAGAATTTTTGTTTTACAGTTTGCCAGTTCTAGTGATTTTGGGGAGATTTCAGAGTTTTCTGTAACAAAATACTGCACATTTTTACACAGAATTCTATGATATATTACATAAAAATCACTGACATAACTATTCAGAAGATATATTATGAAATGAATACTGAATATTCACATACGCAAAATAATGGTATTTAAGTTAAATATTAGCATTTAATACTAAACAGTGTTACGAATACTATATGCATTATCTCCTAGTAGAATAGGCCAAAGATTATAAGGTGATATATGTAAGTAAGTCTACCCTGACTGAATCAGAATCACCTGTGAAACCTCCTCAAAGGGGAATTTTCTAAACAACAATTGTCCATGGCTCCGCAGAAACTTCTCATGTACAGCATGGATTTCCCTGCACAAGAACTGTACTGTGAGGGATGGGGGATGGCAGCTGCGGGGTCAGGCGTTCACCACGTCAGGCCTTACAGTCTCATAAACAGCGCATCAGATTGCTGGCCCCTCGACTGTCCTTGCACCTTTTATCTAAATATACAGATAAACGAGTGGCATATGCCTATAATCGCAGCTAATCAGGAGGACGATCGCTTGAGCAGAGGAGTTCAAGGTCAGCTTAGGTGACATGGCAAGACACTGTCTCAAAACAAAACAAAAACCCTAAACTGAATTAAAAATTGCAAATGCAACATACAAAACCAATTATAAATTACTTGCAAACTAGTTTCTCCAAGCTCTTTTTAGATTCTGCAATTCTTTTAAGTATACTTAAATAAAACCCTTTCAACACATATAATTTGAAAAGGATCCCAGGATATTTCTACTTTAATTCAAAAATATTGCATCAATTTAGATAGGAAAGTAAAGCAATAAATATATGCAAGAGTCCTATGGTGTCTGAATGAGACATTCAACTATATTAAAATTTATCACACAGTGAAATTTACTATATAATGAAAATTGGTTTACAATGACAAGGCATGTGGAAGTCTGCTCCTTGAGAAAAAGTCAGAAAAAACACCAATCTCAGACAAACAAAAAACATACTAAAAATAAAACTTCAGGACACAGCAAGTGAATTTTTATTAAGTGAAAATTGCTTAAAATATGAATGATGCACTAAAAACAAACGTAGAATATACCTGGTAGCTTGTACTGGAACACTTTTTCCATGATGCATTTAATTTCTAGCCTCTGTTCCAAGTTCTCATTGTGTAATCCAAACTCCTGCACCACTTTGTCAATGGCAATGCCAACTGCACTTATCTGAGAGGATGTTGGTGGGGGTAATGTAGTGAGCAACTCTTCCTCCTGCTTTTCCTTTCAAGATCAATGTTGAGATAAAAAATGACTCACATAGTTTTTACTTTCTACATTAAGACAACACCCTACACAATTTTCTAGAATCTTTTTCTTGGCCCCCCCTTCTCATTTGAGCTGTTAGTCTTCACTCCATCAAACGTGTAAACATTTTATGCACATAGATCAGTGATAATAAAGAGTATAAAGCAATAAGGAGAAAGTCCACACCAGAACATTAAAACCAGCAATGACAAACTGATTATCTGCTTTATTATTGGCACGAGGACATATACATACCATGGCTCAATCATCCCACCCAAAAAATACATTTGATAAATATAAAGTATTTTGGCTAAAACAAATTCAACAAAATATAAACCTATTGATTCCACAGATTTAAGGAGAAAAAGTCCTAAGGATGATGATAATAGCTAAGATACTTGTTTGGTCATGTGAAACTCACCTTCATGTTTTTTTTGTGCCTCTTCTCTTTGATATGCTTATGGGCAAATGTAATGGATTCAATTAAAACATCACAGAGTTTGCAGGTGTACTTTGCTGTAGGGCAGTTTCGTGGCCTCTGGAATTTGAAAACATTGATAGATGCATTTCAAAACATACATGCACGCAAAACTAGCCAGAAAGATGATTTCCCCTTCACTTCTAAAATGATTACAGTGTTACTGCCTTGCTTTCTCAATATACTAACAATCATTTAGTAATGACATTACTGTAAATCTTACTATCACTTTTTAAGTTGTACTACTTAAACAATGGCAACCAAATTAGGACACCTAATTCATCAAAGCATGTACTGTGGTCACAACTACTAACACAGTTTAACAAAAGGAGTTTTTCCCCTCAGTACTGAGGATGCAACCTAGGGCCTTTGCACTGATCTATGCCCCCTGCCTCTCTTCCTTTTTTATTTTGTGACAGGATCTCACTAAGTGGCTAAGTTGCCCAGGTTAGACTCAAACTTGTGTTCTGTCTGCCTCAATCTCTAAGAGCACTAGGATTTACAGGTATTCACCAAAATGCCTGGCTTAAAACAAGGACTATGGGCCCAGGATTTAGCTCAGTGGTTCTGTTGCCTGCCTTGTAAGCACAAGGACCCGAGTTCGATCCCTGGTACCAAAAAAACAAAGATTATAACTATTAAATATAGGCTGGGCATGGTGGTGCATGCCTGTAATCCCAGCACTCGGGAGGCTGAGGAAAGAGGATCTCTGTGAGTTTGAGACCAGCCTGGGCTACACAGTGAGTTGCAGGTCAGTCTCAACTACAGAGTGAGACCATCTCAAAAAAAACACACACACAAAAGAAACACTATTAAATATATGCACCAAGTTGTTACCCTTTTTAGCCTGTCAATGAAGTCTCTCTTTAACCGTTCCTCAGCCTGCTGTAAGCCCAGCAGCTCCTTTGTTGAAAGCACTGACTCGTCAATCACAGGACCGTCTAATTCTCCATCTTGTTCACATTCCTCATTTCTAGTCCTCCGTGGCTTCCTGGGTCGAGACCGCTGCTTCTTGTTTTCTTAAGGTAGGAGGGAGATATTATTGGCAATAATGAGTAATACCACTCCAGGGTAAAAAGAAGAACTTACATGTTTATTAAATCCTGTGTTAGTGCAAATGATGTCTGACCACAGGAAACTTGGCTTTCTCATGGACAAAATGCTTGACTATTCACTAACCAGATTAACCAGATATAACAATCCATACAATCATCTAGTTTATGACATCTAAAAAAGCAGAATTCTACTTCAGTACAATTTGATTTTACCTCTTCTGCAATGTTGCTGAGTATACTAAAGCAACAGTAAAAATTAATCCTCTGAAGGCAAGTATGCTTGTAATTCTAATATATCCTTAATATATAACACACATATAACTAGTACATTCTAGTACACCTGTGAGTACCCACTGCTCTACTGAAAACCATTCACATTTGCTTTTATTTATCAGGCAATATGGACAATACTGCATATCCGTGGAACTCAGAAATCCTCACCTGGAGCAAAAAAAATCATTTACTTACAAGTTAAACTTTCAATAATATATAACTGGGGTTCTGTCATTAACAGCAAGACATACAAACCAAAATTTTGATGGGGGATAACTAGCACCCATTTTCTTTCTTTCTTTTTTTTTTTTTTTTTTTTTTTTTATTGTGAGATGCCTTCTTGACTGTTTTATCCCTTTTTTTTTTCTTTTTTTTTTTTTTTTTTTTTTTGGAGACAAGGTCTTGCTATGTAGTCCAGTCTGGCCTCAAACTCACAGCGATCCTCCTGCCTCAGCCAGGTGCTGGGATTACAGGTGTGTGCCACCATGGCTCGGATACCCATTTTATTTCTACTTCCATGTTAGGTTTATCAGACTGACTGCATGCTAAGTGTATTTCAAAGGAAAAAACAATTGGTACTTGAAGTAAAAGTTTTCTCTAAGTACAAATTCATGTATTCATTGCTGTTAGTTCTAAGAGCCTTAGAATGAATGAATCTGGTCCTTTTCTAAGTTTTCAATTTTTCAGTCTGTGAAATTGAACATGCCTGTGGGATTGAATTACAAAATCTTGCTTTAAATAGTTTTGATGACTTCTATCACATTCTGAAAATTGGAGCCATCTGGAACAAATATTACTAAATAAAATTTATTACCCAAATTAAATTTCTGATAAATGGATGGAATTGTTTTCAATGGCTTACTACAAATTAGTCCACAGAAACATTAACCTATTAAAATGCCCTGGTATGAGGCAAACTTATTACTAATAGAGCAATTACAATGGATTGGCTAATTAAAAAAATTCTGTGTCAGAAAAGGAGGTATAACCTCCAAAGTTAAAAGAAAAGGTTAGGAGGCAGAGAGGGAGAAAGAGGGAGAGAGGGGAACAGATAGACAGAAGCTACTGCCAGGCTTGGGATGTTGCTCAGTGGCAGAGCACTTGCCTAGCACATGCAAGGCCCTGGGTTTGATTCCTGCAACAGAGCATCCATGTCCAGATTACTGTAGCGATTAAGGCAGCTTGTAGGCAGTGCTTGCTTTACATCTGCCATCTGAAAGAGTAGTAATGGTAGCTGCTGTCATCATCTGACAAATTTCTGTAGCCACCCCTTCTTTCTGTAAAAGCAGTAAACATTAATCAGTCTTTGGATGCAGAAAGGAGCCACTCTTTCTGGAAAAGGGTAACAACCCAGTTGTATCAAGAAGCTGCTGTAACCAAGAGAAGGAGGGTTTAAAGAAGGAACTTTGTTACCTATCATTTACTGTTCTGTGAATCAATACAGACTTTCCTAACAGGTGTAACAATACATTTTTACTGTAAATATCTAATGAGTATTTTCCTAGGGAAGAAGTTGTCATTAATACTAAAGTCAAATACGTTGTCTAGAGACAGTTTATAACAATAAGTAAATTAATGAAATGAACACATTTACATTACAGGCCAAGCTTTTCTCAGACTAAGAGTCCTACTGGCCTTTAAAGATTGTGATAAATTTGTTGGGGGTAGGGAGAATGTTAAAGTGGAAGTATTGGCCTGCTTTTCTAATCAGTTGATGACTTACCTTTGAGTTTTGTCTGCTCAGTACATTTTGATTGATTTTGTGTTTTTCTTAACACTTGATTTTTTAAATTGTCATATATTGTAGAAGCTTTTTTCAGAATTACATTATATTCAACTGAAGTAGTTTGAGCAGAGTGTTTCACGTTTGTCCTTTACAGCTATAGGCAATAATTTGTTTTTGTTGTTTCGCTTTTGCATAACCTGTCTAGCTGTGAAATTTGCATCTATAAACTTATTTTAAAAATGCTCTTCAGCCCGGGGATTTAGCTCAGTGGATCTGCCACCTGCCTTGTAAGCGCAAGGTCCCGAGTTTGATCCTCAGTACCAATAAATAAATAAATTTTTTAAAAATGCTTTTCAAAATCAACTTATTTTCTAAAAAAACCAGATAATTAAATGTTCACTTCCCACTTAGATACTGTACTACATAAATATTTGAATACACACAAACTTTAAAAAAAGAAAAAGACAAATCAAAAGCCAAGAAATTATCGGCAAATGATGTTTTCCCCAGTCATGATTCCAGGTCCAGTGAGGTTGTCTTTCCAGCCAAAGTAACAACAGTTCCGGATTTCAGCTCCTCTTCCTCGTCTAACACACTGCATAAGGAAGTCTAAATAATTTTTTTGCTCCCAGGGATCCAACTCAGGCCCTTGAGCTTGCGAGGCAGGTGGTGGAACTACAGAACTAAGTCCCCGGCCTTAGATAAATTTAACCTCTGTGAAATGCAGCTGCTTGATTTGTAAAATTGTGAATCTACCTGTACAACATCACAATAATACTCCATCAGAGAAATGCTTTAAGTTCTTTCTAGTTTAAGGAATTGTAAGACTAATGTTTTCTCTCTCTTTCATACTGTAACACTTTATTCTGTTTCTGCTACTTGTAGCTCTTGCCCTATTTAATATTAACAGATGCTTCAAAATTTTTTTTTTTTCTTTTTGCACTGGGGATTGAAAGCATGGCCTTCACACTGAGCAACATCCCCACCTTTTTAAAATTCTGAGACAGGGTTTAATTAATTCACCCAAGGTGGGCCTGAACTTTGAATTCTCCTGCCTCAGCCTCCCACAGTGCTGGAATTTCAGGAGTCTACCCCCATGCCTGGCAAGATTTTCACTTTTATTCTATGACTTTCTAATGATAAAAAGGATAATTTCTCTTTTAATTATTCTTACATGTTTGAGTCCCAAATTTAAGAGCTGTAATACAGTTAACACATTCATGAATAGCTACTGTGAGAGAGCGTGAAGGAAAAAGATTTCTGGAGATCTAGAAAGCATCTACTTAGAAAATCTTTACCTGGACAGTCTGCAACCCATCCCCATCCCATATGGCCACTAACAAGGGTTTTCAGCCTGGAAATGTAAAAGCCCAATTTTCCATTTTCATCCTAAATACTGTTTTATTTTTCCACCCAATTTATGACTTTATTTCACTTTAATATACCACTAGATAAAAAATAACCTTCCTGTTTATAGAAATCACCACACATGGGCAAAATCTGTATCTTTTAGAAAAATATGCAAATAATCACTTTAGGCAAATTATTATAATGCATGTGAATGCCCTGAGAAATGGGGTTTGGTTGCACTGAAAGTAAACAACAAAACTGTTACCTGTATTCTGACTTTCTACATTCATGTTTCCCAACCCTGCTGCCACATCACACAACCCCCACTTCCCAGGGCCATGTGCAAGCCAGGCAAGTGCTCTCTCTACCATGAAACTGCATCTTCACTCTTTATTTTTCTTTTGGTACCAGTGATTGAACTTGGGCCCTTGTTCTTGTGAGGCAGGTGCTGGAACCACTGAGCTAAATCTCTAGCCCTTCACTCTTTTTAGGTGCCTTGCTGTGCTCCCAGGCTGGCCACTTAATTCTTGGTCCTGGCTCCCTCCTCTTGAAAAACAAAAACTTCAGGTTATCCTCCTCTGGAGAATGATACTTCACTCAAAAGACATATCCTTGTTGTAGTGGGCAGTATTTTCAGTTTGTATTGAGTTTTTAAATCAGTAATTTTTAAAAGTTTTACATTGTCACTTATAGACACATTTACATGCGAAATTACAAACACACTTTTGGAAATACATATATACTGTTCAGAAATTATAGTCCCCAGGAAGGTAAGACTACACTCTTAAATTAAAAAAAAAAAAAAGTTTACTGCATGGAAAATATGTTCACTATAGCAAAATGAACCTTGTGATAAAATAAACTAATGTATGAAATATGTTCAAGCTGCCCAAATATATGATAGACAAAATAATCACAACAACTGACCACTCCTGAAAACAGGAACTATGAAAAATTGGAAACTCACTGCTGAAAACAAACTTATTTGGATGAAAAAAGAATGATACTGCCAACTTTGGGGCTGTAACCTGACAAGTTGGAACACATTACCAGGACTCCCAGCTTCCAGTTCTGACATGGTCTCAAGGCTTGTCAGGTCTTTGTGAAACAAGCATCTCGAAGCACGGCAGCCTCTTCCATCCTGCCACCTGTAACCATCCTCACTCTCTTGAAACGAGTCCTTTCTTGGTCGGCTTGCTGTAGGAATTCTAGGTCCGGGTTTGAATTCTCGCCAATTGTCTGAATTACCAGTCAGTTCATCTAACAGCCACCTCTTACTCTGATCTTTGTGGCTGTCATTCATCCAAACGGCCTGACTGTAAATTGGGTTTTTAAATGTATATGGATTGCTGGAAATAGGATATGGTCCTTTTCTGGGTGTATTCCCATAGTTCCCAGGTGTTATCTTTTTTTTTGGCAGGCCCTTTTCCATTTTACTACTATGGCCCTTAACGTAATCATCCATTATTAAATAATCTTGTTGGAGGTAACCCTTTCTGAAATCATCATCATCAACAGTTCCTCGGCCTTTAGTGCCCTTCACAATGTAAGGTTTTACTGCATCTCCCATGGTCTTTGATTTCAATTTTCTTATTTTGCACCTGAAAGAAGGCACCGGAGAAATAACAGATGTCATAATAAGTACACAACATTCTGTAGGTATTTAACACACTGATACCCAAAAAGTGTGTACAAAACTTCTCTTGAATTTTTTCTTTTGGTAAAATTTCTATTGCCAGTAATCAGCGGATAACACTAGAATTTAGTAGGTTTAGTCGTATAATATTCATAAAAAGAGTACTATTTAGTGTAAAAGATAAATTTTTGAATAAGAGAAATTCCTATAGTCTGGAAAACTGTGGTAAAATGTTACACCAAGTTGGTCAGCTTTTACCTAGGTAACAAAAGTTCCTCTCTACAAAGAAAACTCCATCCCCAGCCGATACTGTTACGAAACTGCCAACAAGGTCTTTTTCAAAAGTTGCAATTATTAAGCGTTATACAAAGAAACTTCAACTTTAGGTGAACAGTCTCCGCCCCGCTTGGGTCGCTTCAGCACCCCTTTTCGGAACAGACTGGCTCGGTCCCCGGGCTGCGGAGGGCTGGACTTCTGCCCACGGTCCCGATCCAACCCAAGGGCTGGGTTTCCCACTTCTCATTCTCCAACCCACAAGTTCGCTTTTCCCAGAAAAGCAACTGCCCCACTCCTCCTCTCTGGTCTGTGACCGCCCACCCCGACCTGCCTGGGTTTCCACCTGGGCCGTCAGAGGCCAGCGGCGGGCGAACCCGCGCTCCCGGCAGCGAAGCTGGGCAGCAGGCATCCATCTGCAGCCGGCGCTGGGGTGCAGAACGTCCC